AATGGTTGCTTTAGTTATTATTTGAAGTAAGCAGCTAGATTGTATATATGTTAACTATTTTAGTATATAAACATATGTTTATATTCATGTTAGAAAAATGATCAAGCCTAATAGCACAGTCCTGGAATCCTAGTTGCTCAGTAGGCTGAGACAGGAGGACTGCAGTTTCATGCCTACCTGGACTAATGTAGTCAGTTCAAGGCTAACTTGGGCAAAATAGGATGTATAAACAGAGGGCAGGGAATACAGTTTGTGGTGGGGTACTTGCCTAGAACACATAGAGGCCCTGTGTTCATTCACAGTACCACACATACAAAGAAAAAAGAACTGAGTTATGGACTCATGAGATGGTTTAGCAGGTAGAGATACCCATGGTCCAGCCTGACAACCTGAGTTCAACCCCTGAAACCCAGAGTAGCAGAAAAGAACTGACTCCTTCCTGCAAGTTGTTCTCTGGCCTCCACGTGTGCCTTGCAGCATGCAGATATGCACACATGCATACACACATGCGCATGCGCGCGCACACACACACACACACACACACACACACACACACACAAATAATAAATGCAAAATTGAAAACAAAAATCAAAACCCAGAAAAATGAGTTAACAAGGGATAGGTTTTGATATCTCAAAGAGTTTTGTACCATACAACAATGTGTGTCATTGGCAATACTATGAAGGACAGTCAACTCCAAGCCTGGCCCACACATCTGATACTTATGGCCACAGTCACTACATTTTACAGATTGGTCACTGCCATCCTTGTTTGCTGTTTACTGTAGCAGCACAAAAGTGACCACAGGGTCTCTCTCTCTCTCTCTCTCTCTCTCTCTCTCTCTCTCTCTCTGTGTGTGTGTGTGTGTATGTGTGTGTGTGTGTGTGTGTGTGTGTGTGTGTGTAACAGGGGTGGCCACTCAGATGCTACTGTGGAATCAAGTAGCTTATTGGTGTTCTTTTAAGAATCTAGTGATACTTTTTTTTTTTCTTCGTTTGTGAATTCTCTGTTCAGGTGCCAGGTCCATTTTTTGAATGAGTAATTTCTTTCTTTTAAAAATTCTCTGATACTCTTTTTAGTTCTTTATATATTCTGGATATTAATCCGCTGTCAGATGTAGAGCTGGCAAAGATTCTCCCCTATACCGTACCAGGACAGACATGCATTGGAAAGTGCCCTTCAGTATGCTCACACGGGTAGTGGCTCAAAGAGCAGCATTCTAAGAGGCTTGGAAAACCAACATGTGCAACCTCCGTGTGGCCTCCAGAAAATCAACATGCGAAGAGAGCAAAAAAAGGACCCAAGAGCTTAGGTCTTGAGAAGCTGCCTGGACTGGAGGAGGTGACTCCGGCGGCAACGGAAATGATGAAGTGTGAGCCGCTAAACGGAGAGGAAACTCAGAGGACAGGACCATCAATCACTGCCAGGCTTATCTTCTGACGGACTGGGACTCCAGCTTCCAGATGTTGCATTAAAATGTAATGCTCCCCCTGGGATTCACATGGCAGGCTTCCCTGAAGCAGCGGTTTCACTCAGCTAACTAATTATGAGAAAATGTGACATCGGTATTTCACTTTTTTCTACAGGGACAAATCATTCCCAGCAGGAGGGAGAAGTTGTTATTTTTTATTCAGTTTTCTTTTGTCATTAAAAAGAAATTACTTACACAGCAGTAAATAAACTCTTGTTAGGGGGAAGGGACTTTCCTCCCTTCTCAATAACTCTGTCAATTTACCTTAATGCTGACAATCATTTCTTTGTTTTCCCAGAAATGCAGTGAAGTTAAAGAAAAAAAAAAAAGGATATTTTGGACATTGAATCTGGGTTTAAATTAACTCTCCCACTTAGTGGCTATGTGATATCAAGCCAGTTATTTAAAGGCTTGTGTCCCCAGCCATAAAGTTAGGATGATGCATGCCCTGTAGGCTGTTAACTATTAATAATGAAATGGGATAATGCAGTTAAAGTGTGCTAGCAGAGTTCTGAGTAACTGCGCAATACATTTTATCTTCTATTCTTGAAGCCCCTGATACTGTGTTATGAACATAAAAATTATGTATGTGTCATCTATGCTTGATGCTGGCAATCTTACATGACCACTCATCCAATCCCGACCTCTTCTTTACTTGAAGACTACAAGTCAAATTATGTTTTAACATTTTGTTCTTCCTTGGTCTGATATAAAAATAAAGGTTTCCAGTGAAAAGTTAATGTTTATAGATAAAGTTAAAAAAAGCGAATTTCTCTGATGACCACTATATTTTTAAACTTTGCTTGTGTTTTGAGGTTGTTGTTGTTTGTTTTTGTGTTTGTTTTGACAAAAAACTCATTAAATTTTCTGTGCTGGCCCCCAAATTGTAACTTTCCTGCCTCTGCCTCCTGAGTAGCTGGGGTTGTGTGCATATGCCAACACGCTTAACCTCCATGCTATGTGGAGCACACATCAGCCAATCTCCATTTCCTCTCAGCCTTCCTGGATGGAGGAACATGACAACATGGTGTTTGGGTGTCTGTAACAAACTGAAAGGTCATTTCTGCAGAAGATGCATAGAGCAGATACGAAGAGCCCCAGCGCACAGACAAGCAGACCAAAGAGGAGAGAAATAGCTGCACCCACATGGTCTCTGAAGGGCACCTATAAGGATGGGAAATGGCAGAGCTAGGGGACTTTCTAAGTTAGATTTCTCCAAGAATGAATTCTGTTTCAGAAATAGCTGAAGGGAGCAGCTGTTGCTGAAGGAAGTGGGATTACTGGTGGACAGGGAACAAAAGAGAACAGTGAGAGGCACAGGCTTTTATATTCTGGTTTCACAATCCATTTGCCAATGTGCCTCTATTCTTTTAGAATAAACTGGGAAAACCTGATTCACCTCTCTTACAGATGCATTGCAATGTCATTCCAGCAGACAAATGTTACGCAAGAGTGGTGGTGTGACACTGAAGATGTTTTATGACGGCCACAGTAAATAGTAATTTCTAAAATGTATAAAGGTAAGGAAACATACAGTGTGGACTAGATAGAAAATCATAGTAATAAAGAAACACATGAAAATATTTCCGTAAGGTTGCACAGACTAGTAAATGATGAATAATTCAGCAGCATAGGTAAATCAGCATGCATGCTTAAACTATTTTTAGAAGTTGCAGGAGACAAAGAAGCATAAATATATAATGCATTTTTGAATTCACTAAAATATAATACTCATCTAATTTTCATAGTAGTTCCTCAACTAATCACATTTAATAGCTATTAAAATACCAAGAACAAATTATTTGGGCAGGGATCACCTTTCAGATCTTCAAAGGACCCTGACATATGCCTAGAGATCTCCCCTAACCCCTTAAAAAGTCCTAGTGGATTGCAGAACTTTAATTTAGAATTCCCTATCCCTTGTGAACAGAGGATGTACTCTTATGGATAGGAAGACAAAAGCAACCAGAGGTTACTAAGGGTAAAAATAGTTCAAAATAAAGGCAAACACACATTTCTCATTTCGACATGGAAGCTGAAGGACTTATAAATATACAATCAAAATCCTATTCATACCAGCAACAATCAGCAAAATAGCATGTGATAACGGTTTACCATTAGGTGGCTGATTACCTAATTCTCACTTAATGGGCCTTGAACATAATTTTCCCTACAATTCTTCAGAGAACATGGTAAAACTTCGTTCCAATATTAGGACAGATTTTCATAATGTAGCAGCAGGAGAAATGGCCTAAAACTCCCTCTCCATTTCCTTAATTCATTCACTTAATAAATACATTTTTAATGTTTGCTTTTTGTTGGACACTATATCAAAAGAAATTCAGTCTCAAAAGTCAGCTAAGGAAAGCATCAGACTAGTGTGTTCCGCTTAGGAAAACATATGTCACTATAAGTGGACCCAAAAGCTTTCACAAAAGATGAAAAAAAAGATGAGCAGAAACCATCTACACGACCAGAAGGAAGAGTCATTTCCCTCTAGGGAATAGCAAGAATGAAAGCAGGAGATGAAATAAATAGATAAAAAATTTTAAAAGCGGGGAGAGACTGAAACTAGATACAGAGTCATATGCTTGGAGTGAGGGCTATTGACAGGGAAATGGGAAAAGAGAGGCTAAGACAATGAGCAGCAGAGGAAGATGGAGATCCCATCCTTAGAGCTTACTAGACCTTGTTTTAAAATGCAGTATTAAAAAGCCAGCCACAATTTTTGATCTGTTGCAAAGTGTCCATGCTATATGTGAAAGGAGCTATATACACTCAGGAAACTGAACAGCGGTGATCTACAGGTGTGGATTATGTTTATGGGATAATCTCAAAAGTCCAAGAAAGAGAGACATCAACAAGTCCTCAGCTAAACCTGAATACCAATATTTGTGAAGCATCATCCTATGATATGATGAACCCATTACAGCCACCTGATGAACAATTTTGAGTGACTGTAGGAATAAGTGATCAAAGGTTAGAGAAGACATAATTAGATGTTTTGTCCTTTGAGTGATGCAGCTGTCTCTTAGAATAATTCACCCTGACTGAGTAACAGCTCGCTCACTTGCCGAGCAGCTCCATTTCAGATTTAAGCCACTCTGCCAATGGCTGTGCAGAGATGTGGCCTCACTGTCTGGAAGGGACTTGGGAGGTAGCTCCTACAACACCTCCTCATTGTAGAGGTGAAAATCGGACTCACAGAAAATACATGCTTACGTAAAAGATTATGTGACCATTGTGATGGTTGGACGGAACCAGGCAGAAGACATTAAATGTCATAATGCCTATCAACCAAAATGGTTACAACAGATTTGAAAATAATACCAACTATCAAACTCGGCTTCTGTGGATCATGTTTTTAAAAGTGTTTGACATGTCACATTAAACAAACAAACAAAAAAAAACTACAGGGTCAACATCTTAGAGAGACTTTCTTAATAATTTTCTGCTCTGACAGTGAGGTATAAGGACCAGGGATAAATTTTTGAGTGCATAATTTAGTATAAAAATGACATATCCTTACCATGATCTTCTGAAGAGACTGGCGACCTAAAAAAGATAATATAAACATGGTAAATATTTTATAAACAATAATGATAACAATTAGTATAAATAATTTTACAGAAACTATATAGTGAAAATTCAGTTCAGGTGGGGCTGTAGAGATGGTTCAGTGGTTAAGAGCACTTGCTATTCCTGCAGAAGACACAGGTTTGATTCCCAGTTTCCACATGGTAGCTCACAGCCATCCTTAAACCTAGTTCCAGGTGATCTGATACCTTATGGCCTCCATGGCTACCAAGCACACACATGGTATACATACATACATGCAGGCAAAACACTCAAACACATAAAATAAAAAATAATTTTAAAAATTCCTAAGAAAAAGTCAGTTAAGGAGAAACTGAGTATACCAGGTGATACGATTAATGTACTTGTTAAAAGGCATATTCTAGTTAATACAACTTCCATATTGTCTGGATTGGTTGAGTAATATCATGGGTTACTATAATGTCAGCAGCTTGGCATGGTGTCACAGGGCTACAATAAATTTAATTATGTCTGAACTTATCTAGAAAGAATGAAAATGTATTGAAATGTTATCAAACATCTAGAACAAATGCCAGGAACACAAATGTAGGCTAAATTTTATGCACAAAGGAACATGCTTAGATATTTTTAAAATGGAACAGAAGTAAAAATGAATGTACCATTATCATTATTTTTTGTTTCCATTCTTCATGGAATTTAATGTTTGTATGAGCTTAAGACAGATCTTCTATGTGATGGCCTAATATCACCAAATCTATGAGAATCAGAACGAGACAAAAAACTGCTGGAGCCTCACAAATTTAATTAACCAATAACTTTTATATATCACCTGTAAGTTTAGCTTCAATTATAATAGTTTTCAAATGGAACATCATGTCAACCATAAAAATATTTCCCCCTCAGTTGACACCCAAGTGAGATATCTTGACAATGAGCAATACCATCTTGAATATGAAGTATTAACTGATGAGGAACACATGTTGTAGAATTCTTGGAAGCTAGAAGGTAAACGGAAGAAATCCCATGCTTCCTCTAGATATACTGCAGCCTTTTCTCTTAAAAGCTGGTCCATCACAGTCATTAGGGTGGCAACCTATGACAAGTGAAGATGTTGGCAAATGTAGTTATGTAATCTATCATTGATGTTCCTGAGACACAAGAGAGAAACAGTGAAGGGAGTACACATTCAAAGATGTACTAGCTGTTGAAGGAGTGTTAAACAACTTGAGGATGCAACTGTTTCCATTGATCTTCTGATGAGCAACATGGCTTTTGATTACGTGAGTACACACAATTGTTGCACACATGGTAGTAATGGAAAGAAAATGTAAACATTCATTAGTGCAAAGTGCTAACCCATTTCAGGCTCATGAGCCTTTTCAAGTAGAATTCTGCACATGAAAGAGAGAGTCCCAAGACTTGATGGGAAAAAAATGAGTGTCCAAGGGGCAAATAAACTAGATGAATGATGAGCAGAAGTTGACAAATTACTAACCCAAGAAACAGTTAAGCCTCCCCTGTTGGAATTGATTTATGTGCCTCTTAAAGTTCCCAGATTTTGTGCTGTCCACACACTGGTCTTTGTAGGTAATTACTCCTGGCAATATAGAAACACATCATAGTTAGAAAAAACAGGATATTGCTTCACAGTTGTTGAATTGAATGGATTTCAGTACCGCCAGGCTGGTATTCAGAATCAGATATATTTAGGAGAACTGTCAGCTTCTGAGCTATCTAGGAGAAAGGGAGCCTTGGAATAAGCACCCTCAAAGCCAAAAGATGCCCAAGACATCCAGCAATAGGGATATCCATATCTGTTTTAGCAGGGAAAAAATAAGTGGGGAGTGTGTTGAATAGAAGGTAAAATGGAATTCAAAGGTGATTCTAGAGAACATAGATTGGAAACAGCACACCCTAATGAAGTTGCCTGAGGCATGAAAAGTGAGTCAGTAACAAAGGAACAAATTTCTGATAGAGACTTAGAACAAAGAGAAACCCATGCCCATGGCCTCCTGCAAGTCTCAGATGGGAGCTCCAGAGTCTTTTCTGTCTTTCTGCAAAGCACTTAATACTAAATCTGAAAAAGTCCAGATGGCTCCACGAGAGTCCCATGGGGATGCATTCCGAAGTATGTCCAGGCAGCGAGGATGAACTATCTGTTTCAAAGTGTTTTGCAAGGATTAGTCATGTTGAATTTCTGCGGCTGAATGTCTCCCACACTCCTGGACGGGTGGAATTTGAAGACATATGGAGTATTTCAACCCTCACTCAGCCCTTCACCTTTCACGGCACAGCATCACTAGATCACACTACTGGGACAAGCACATCATCCATTTAGGCTGGAAACGGGCATACGAAGTTTCACAGAACTCGGCTCAAGAGAGAAGAAATATCCACAATGAGCAGTATAAGCAGTTATTTTTAAACTAGAGGTTGAATCCCAGGGATGGATCATCTTTCTGATAGCTGAACCTGACAGCTGAGGCACACAGGAAAGCTCTCCACTTACTCTACTACATGTCTGAGCGACATAGGCCTCAACTTGTTCCAATTCCCTTCCATGTACACAATCTTAGATCTAGAAGCTGCCTTCACAACGTGAACTATTACTAACATTTACTAACTCAACGATGCAGAATCCCTCTCTATATTTTCCTAATCACTAATCCTTATTATAATCTACAGAATATATATGTTTTTGTTATGCTTTATTGAGTGCTTCGCACTATTTACATTCTTATTTCATGCAAATTCAGGAAATTGAAAAAAATAAGAGCAAAACCAAAATAATTCAAAGACTACACTTAAAATTTATTATTCTGTTTTATCAAACCTAAATTGTTATCATTCATACGGGAGTCTTTTAATTCATATTGATTTAATGAGTGAGTCAAGGCCCCAAATGTTTGTCCTACATGAAGACATGGGGAAACAAAGGACAATATCAGAAAATTCATAATCTAGTGAAGAATAAAAAAAACCCTGCTTATAACATAGTGACATAACATAGAAAAATAAATGCTTATACCATAGTGAAAAGTATAACAATAAAGAAATATATAGGAAGTAAAAGGTTAACAATGCAGAGAGATCAGTCATGTCCCCAAGAATAAAACAAACTCAAAAGGTCAAAACCATCTTGCCTCAGCTTTACGGGATTAATAAGAGCTCATTAAGTAAGTGAGAGAAAAATTCTAGACAGAAGCAATAGGTACATAAAACAGCCAGAACTGAAATTTCATAGACGTTATCAGAAACATAAATAATTCAGTACTGCTGAAATGCAAAGGGATGATAAAACCCATGACTGGGGGAGTTGGGGCCATTCCATATGGAGCCTATAAATCTATTTTCAACTGTCTGGAATTTACTTTCTAAAACAAATACCAAAAATATGTTTGAAAGTCACATGCTCTGGTTTCCATTTTTGAATGATCTAGAGAGAACAGAGAGAAGATAAACTCAGGGGTTCCTGTCAAGCTTCCGTGTCAAGAAGGAAGAATAAAAATGTCTGTTTCTTGATTCTCTTTGAAACCCATGAAAAATAACAAGGAGGCTAGAAACCAGTAAAAACATCTTTTATTAATCTAAATGTTTATAAGCTAAACCACCGTATATGAGTCACCAAATATAGCAAAAGCTGGTCTACATTTCAGGAGAACAGTCATGATTTTAAAACGCTATAAAGACACAGCTACATCATATACCACAAAGCCAGGGCAGAAAGCCCTCCTCTGAACTGAGATGTCCTGCTCTTGAGACCTTGGATCAAACCCCAGAAGACAGTCCTCACCAAAAACCATCTAAAAATGAACAACCCGACCTCAACCCTCCTGCAATTATCTACCCCAAGCAAGAAGTTCTGGGAAGAACTTACCCAGTGAAAATATCACAAGTAATCAAAAAGCCACCATAGATCCACCAAAAAAAAAAAGTCAGCCCAACGTACTAAAAAGATGAGGACATGAAGTTATGGATGGTTACTCAATCTGCGTGATACCCGAAAATGGAAAAAGTGAACAGAGTGGTGAGTCAGGAGGGAGCAAGAGCCTTTGAGAATTACAGAAAGGAATGATGTAATGACCAGGAAACCCATGGGGGCAGAAGAGAGCACAGGCTTGCCTGGGCTTTAACCAGTGCATTACAGAGAGAGAGAGGAGCCTACCTGTTGTCACAGTAAAGAGAGAAGGAGCATAAGAGGTAAATAATTTAAAATGTCAGAACAGAAAACACTTTTAAAAGTGTCCCACCAGTTTTCTGATAATTCTTATTTTAGTTTATATTTAAGTTAGTGCAGATATACGGATCCCAGAACAAAAGGTGTTTGGATTCTTAAAGTAATTTTTTAAAAAGTAAACATGCATTGAAGGCAGTTTTAGGCAATATCTCCAGGTGTCTTAGGGGCTGAGTTTATTCTCTAGAGTAGGGGGCTTTCTACAGAAAAGTGTAACTGTACGGAATTGATAGAAGAAAGTGGAGAAGGCACAATACATACAAAGGCATGCCATGTTCATGGCAATACAAGTTGAGCTACTTATTAAATACGGTACCAAAGTCATCTTTACATAGATTGTAAACACTGTCCTAAAATTAATATAGACTCAAAAAGGTCCTCAGGGAACCAGGGCAATCTTGATCTAAATGAACAAAGCGGGAGGCATTACACCACCTGACTCTAAAATACACACTCCTCTCCCCTTGACATGGCTGCATACCCAAGACCGGAGCAATAGCAATCCCAATAGACATGCTAGAATGGAAAGGGAGAAACTTCAGGGGGCCCCACCCAAAAATAAAGAACTACAGGCAATAAATAACTGTCTAGAGAAAGAGAATCAGCCTCTCCCATGGATGAACCCCCTAACTGGTTATCTAACACAAAGTGGCCAATCCTGAAACCATATACGCACAAACAACAAACACGAACAAGTTGTATTTGTATATTTATTCATACATATACATGTAATAATAATAATAAAAAAAGAAGCTATCAATTT